AAAGGTTAACTGAACACGAGGCAGGAAATCCAAAAATCCAAACATGAAGACAAAGTCCAAACAAACCGGAAACTAGGAATCCAAAATCCAAAAATCAAAGCATGAAAACAAAGCCAAAACAAATTGGGAGCAGGTGTGAACAGGGCAGAATCAGGAAAGGAGATAGGGAAAAAGGAGAACACAAGAGGGAAGCAGAGGGCAACAAACAAAAACCTGAAGACTGAAAATAACCAGAAAACACAACAAAATAAGAACCAAATCACTAACACTTTCTCTGCTTGGTTTAGATGTGTGTCACAGCTATAAGTGAACTCAAACATATAAGAAAAATTTATTTTTTGGTTGATAAAAGGTTGTTGAATTTAAATTTAGTCCCTAGAGAGCAAAACAGATCCCAGCCTCATCATATTTTACTACCTAATAAGTAAAATATTTTCATGTACCCCTTGCAATGCATTCACGGACCACTAGGGATACGAGTACCCCCAGTTGGGAATCACTGCTTAAAAGGTTGACTCTTATGAGCCTCTGAAGTTTCAGGTCTGAGTCATTACTGCAACCAGATTGACAGTGTTGTGATTTGATATTCAATACCCATCCAGGTTGGATGCCATATTAATGTTGTGGATATCTGTTATATTCTATTCCCAGCCAGCTGGGAATTTATATCTCTGATACTTTAATATGTTCATTGCCCTCCCCAGTAGGGGGGGTAAATATTTTATTGAATCAGATTTTATTTAGGCTGTTATATATTGTTTATGAACAAAAGCCCTACTAGCTGTGTGTTAGAACAACAAATGAAAGAGCGATTCGAGCAACAACCATGGTCAAACAGTTAATTCTGCACATACATGGAATGATTTTTTCTGTTCAAAATATAAGAGTTTATTAACTAAAATCATTCAGCTCCGAGTCAAACATATTTCTGTTTAAAACTCTTAACAAAAACTAGTGAAACTCAACTAAACTAAACTACTATATACAAAGAGGAAGGGGAAACTTGGTTGAAACCCATATTACAGTTTAAGACCGATTTTGTGTTTGGAAAC